TAACAAAAAAACTAAACCCTATTTAGCCTTTTTTCGAAGTACATAGCAGCGGTGGCACGGCGGTCCGTCTATATTATTTTTGGAATTGTATATGCACGTAAAAAAAAAATAAAAATGTTTTCATCGGAAAAAACGGGTTCTCGTTTTATATGTACAGTTAGGTTTTTTTTTATTTTTTTTTTTACACCAGTTTCGCTATACCACCCACCTTTTTACCCCGAGGTCTCGTTTCCCGGGGCGGGGGAAACAATTCAGCACATGGCCCACTTCAGAGCCATCAGAGACAACAGACATTATACGTTTCCTGGTTGGGAATGAAAAAAAAATAGAATTTTTGTTGATAAAACCCCTTTATTACTCTTTCAATTGTCGTGTGCCCACCTCGCGGATCACAATGCATTTCACATTTCAGGAAACGGGTTTTAACAAAAAAAATTCGCTATTCGCTATTCGCTCTATTCCCCAAAACGATATAAAGGGGTTGATTAACTCCGGTTAATCCGCAACAAAGGATTGCCACTATGCGAGTGAATACCTAGTTTTTTTTATTTTTTGGCGCATAACGTGTCACCACCGTATATAGTACGTCGGCACCGTCGGAGTTTCCTCAGTCGTGAAATGGTTACAAATCATTTAGGAGATTACGCCGTTTCCCTATATAATATAATATTATTATATATACCTGGGTGTGTGTGTGCGTGTGCATAAAAGAAGGGACACGCGCGAGCGATGATATATATATATACGGAAACGTCGGTCACAATAATTTTTCAGCCGTTTTTCATTTTTGGCTCACTAGGTATACATTATACCATATAGGCACCCTTTTTTTTATATATAAGAACCACAGAATATATTGCGTTTTAAACTTCTCATTTGGTTCAAAATCAACCCGGTTAACAATTGTATTGTGACTCGTGTTTATAGATCGTATATATTAATATTAGGTACGTAATAAATATTGGATTTGGGTTTTTGGATGAGGATTTTATTGACCGATAAATCATTAAATCGCAAATGATTGTGTGTCGTATTATTTTAGTATATATAACATACGTAACATAGGAATAAATATCACATTAAAGTCGCCGAGTGAAACTGTCTGTATAGTACATCGATTGTTATTTAATAAAGTTTAATTCTTCAGGTTTGTATTTTGGGCCCAAACACGCATTACTGTCGAGTTCCGAAAATTTTGAGGTCTCTATTATAACCAAATTGTTTTTTAAACCCACGAATCTACATAATGCGAAAAGTTGAAATATTTTGAAAATGTATCTCCTCGAAGGCTGTTACGTTTAAAGAAAAATATAAAAAGCTGTATTCTACCTTTGTTTTTAGTTTATTTTTGTTTGGCTTCATTACAGAGACGAATTTAATAAGCATCACAAGCTATGAACTCAATTTTATATCTCACTGGACCCTAAAATTCTACTATAAATACCCACTAAAAGCGATTACACGGTATTCTTTTTTTCCAGAATAATATTATTATTTTGTATTGTCCATGAATAAGTAATACCCGAGCATAGATGTATAGTCGGTGCGTCAAAAATAAGTTATAAAATAGTATCTAAGAGAAAACTGCAACACATTTTCCAACTATATTATGGAAATTATTCGTTACTAAAAAGTAGTAGTCAAGCGCAGAGTAAAATTATTTTTTATAGTTCTTATAATTATTAGGATTTCAGTTTACCTGCTATGAAATTCGTAGTCGGATGACATCGAATCTTTCCGGGTGCCGTATTTTCTTATGGTATTGTAGACATCATCGCTTTTCCGAAGGAGTCGTTTCCAGTTATGACGTGGCAGCGTAGGCGTTGTCTATTTTTCCGTTACGAGTGGGTGACAGCCGACAGGTATGACGACAACGCGTGTTGTTCCGCCGTAGGACGTGTCTAGACTGAATCATCTACGTTTCCCTTATGTATAACAATAAATTATTTTTGTATGTATACAGGTTATAGTTGTATGTACTGCAGCCGTTGAGATCAAGTCGTTTTCGTCACTCACGTGGAAAATGCAATTTGAATAAAAAAACATTTTTGCACAGATTATATCTCGTCGTCCACGTAAAAGCAACAATATAACTTCAGAAATCGATTTAATTCACATATTATTACCTATGTATATTAAACGGGGGCGTTCTTTTAGGGATTCAAGAGTGTTCATTTATATTTCATACTCATTCTCTTTATATTTTTTTTTAATATAAATTGTCTTTACTCTAGTTATTTAACGATGGACATTATTATTACCTATGTTTTAATATTGAAACAGGTATCATATATTTTCTTCTGAATTCTTCTGTTTTGGCTTAAAGGCGCTTTATGCAAGGTACAGTAGGAAATATATAAAATGTGTGGTTGACTTAACGAATTCGTGCACTTGAGAAATATATAAAATATTAATGAACTGCATCACATGTATGCCTTAACAATTAATAATAAATCACTTAAAAATTAACCAAGTTAGGTAATACCCATAGGCGGAGATCTTGTGAAATATTAAGGGGGGCTCAAATATTTGATGACAAACAGACCCGTGAAGGCATTGGCTCCCACACCCCCAACAAACTAATTTTTACATGAGATCACTCATAAAAAATTGTTCTCGTTGACTCGTTATCATAACAACTTAAATAGTTACAAACATAGTCCTATAATAGCTATCGCTTCTCGAGAATTAACAAAAATTAGGAAAAGAGATAATATTTTTCCCATCTAAAATAGAATGGTATAATATGTTATTCAATATAGATGGCCAATTGGTACAAAATATGTACAATATTAGGTATATAAACACAATATAATATTATTGTGAATTGTGACTTAATTGTTCGATATGTTACCGTAAATAATAAATTGGTAAATAGTGTGTATGTAATGTACTAGGTACACTTATATAATTGTGGATATAAGAATATTAAATAATGAAAAAAGTTCTGCAAACTGTACAAAATTACGGTATTGTTTGTTTAATATTCTTAGGGGGTCTTTAACTTCAAATCATTTATTTTGGGGGGATTAAGCCCCCGTAAGCCCCCCCCCCCCGATCTCCGCCTATGGTAATGCCTATAGTAAACAAAATAATCTATTTGGTATTAAAAATAGCTTGTTATAGAGATGTTGAATGTAGACAGCTAGGCGTCCGAACTTGTTTGGATTTTTTGTTCTTATTCCTAAATATTATAAGTTTATTAAGGGTATCTCCTAGTGGCTAATACCTATACTGCGTTATCGATTGCCACCGATTGTCTCTCCAAAACTCTCTATTTAATTTCTAAATACTGTAGATGTATGATTTAGGTACCTATATATATATTTTTATTTGTGTAATTATATTTTATATTTGACATTAAACAAGAAAAAGAACATCTTCGTCAGGCTTTTAAACAGGTAAAATGAATTATTTTTATTCTATATTTGACTATACATATATAGTAGGTATAACTCGTCTAGTTCATCTAAAATCTACGTTACAACATGGAAATGAAAATAGAGTATTATTTTTTTATTTTGAAATAAAGTATGCATTTTGGTGGATGTGTGGAGAAAACCACCCGCAATTCGATATAATATAAATTCTATTTGTACAATAATTGAACAAAATCCATACAATAAAAGCATGATTTTTAATTAAATTAAGTATTCAAAATATTTTTGCATTGTGTATTTGTATAATGTATACTTACTCGTTTTCATTGGTTTACAGGAAAAAAGATCAATTATTGAAATTTTGCAATGTTTAATAATATTTTTTTGGTCTTTAACCTATATACAAGCGGTTACGATTATTGTCGGCTACTGGTAAATTTTTTTGAATTCTAAGCAAAATTCTAAAACGACATACAGCTGATTAGTTCTCGCAATGGGCAATGGCCAATTTTATACACTACATAGTACATATACAATTAAACTTTTAAGAGTAGGTAAAACGCATAACATATATAAGGTATATCTTGTAGAAGTTGAATGTGAATATCCTAAATATTCATAAACGTAAAAATCGTTGTAGCTATTATCCCGGAAGGAAATCCGTTTTTGATGCCCGCTAATGCGTGGCTGCGTATTTTTCACACTTGTTACGCATAAATGCATAATCTAATAAATATATAGGTAGGTAGGTTAGGGATGGCAGTATTTTCGGTATACTGGTATTTGGTATTTTAGTCCTTAGAATACCGCTATACGTGACTCGGTAATTACCGTTCTTACATATTAACCAGGCACGGTAATTACCGAAAATACCGTATACGCATTTATAATTTATAATAATTATTATGATCGTAATATCCGTCATTTTTAATTTATCTGATATTATATTACTTCCGGCAAAAACAACTATTTGACAACGGTAATATGTATTGATTATTTTTAATATTATTTCAATGTACTCGTTACAACAAAAAAATGTTTTTCAATGCCATGTGTAATTATTGATGAAATTATTTAAAAAATATAATATTAATTATTTTTTTTAATCATCTTTTTAAATGAAAAAAAAAAACAGTTCTAACATTTTCATCGAATACTCGTGCTCATATTTTATACAACCAATTCTCGGTCGGTACACATTTGTACCTGCTGTGAAAAGGTCATCTACTCCTCTCGCAAACAACCCCAACATAACGGGATTCTTTTTCTTCTTTTTTTTTTATTATTAATTTGGCAAAGAAACCGTTCTTTACGAGGGGTTTTATTCGGTTTGTTTGAACCCTCAAGTATTATTTTTTTATTTTTCATTATTTTTCGCAACGCATTAACCCATTTTTGTGGGATTTCTCTTCGTTTTCCATTAAAATGAAAAAAAAAATAACACGGGCCTTCAAAAGGAAACACACATGCCTCTACTCTATAACTAATGCTGATATAACGGCAGATTTTTGTTAAAAAAAAAAGAACAGCAAACAAATGAAGAAATTCGAGAAATTCACTATAAGTTACAGGAATAGGTAGGCTGATTCAAGGTAAATACAAATTCAAAACGGTAATACATTTTTTTAAAGACTTGAGCACATTTATTCAGACCATAACTCAAAATGCTTTAACAAAATAATATACCTAAATAATAAGTTCATAAATGGCACAATGATTAATGACAATCCAATATTATTGACAGTAATATAGTATAATTAATAATAATGGGTAAATAAACCTCCCATTTCAAAAATTCATTTTTCTAATAGTCATATGTTATAATGAAAAAAATGTGTTGAAATATCTTACAACAGTTAAAAGAGAGAATGGGAAACAAAACAAATACCAACTGGCTATATTAATAAATAATAAAATAATTACTTAATGAGCGCCAACATTTTGTTTCCAAGTTATCCTTCACAAAATTCAGTCTTAATTTTACAATAATTTGTACAACATGTTAATATTATGATAGGTAAACGAATAAATAATATTATATATATATATATATATTATATTAATACATTATAATATTGTTACAGGAGTAAAAAAAATATACAAAAATAATAAATATAAAAACAAATATAATATCACATACGCACTTGTACTTTACATACGAATAACGAAATGGGAATGTCATGAAAGTTAAAACAAAAATATTGAGTAATAGTATGTTTAATGTATTGATTACACTTGTTTTTTTTTATTTTTTTTATTCATTTATTTAAGGTTGGCAGACAACTTTATGTACATACAAATTTCATATTCGAACTTAGCAGCCCTTCTTTTCTTTTATTATCATAAATAATACAACTAGCACCAACTCGAATAGTTTGCCTATATTTATAATAAATAAGATCACGGGACAACTCAGTGGCACCTATTCAAATTTGGAATATAAAATATTATACATGTACCTATTATATATATCATCGGTTAAAACTTAAAGTAACTGTACATGTTATTATATATGTATTGCACAATAATTTTGATTAACGTCAAAAAAAAACAATAAATTATTATTTAAAAAAAATTTTTGATATTAATGAGAAAAAATTGAGCTTAAGACTATGACATGACTACATATCCACAAAAAAAATAATAATAATTGTAAATTGAAATTTAAAGTCGTAATTTTTGGCTAGAATGGACATGAAATCTATGTAATGTAATATATAATATGTAGTTGTTACATTTTATATGATTGTTTTTTCATTAATTTCCTGAAATTTATAGTAATAAAAGCTATTTACATGTGAGATCCATGGCAACATCGGTGATCATTTTGTTCTCGGGTGGTTTGACGGAAAGATCTTCGGGTTCGGTCTGTTCGGGTGACACGAACTTGACCAGAGGATCACTTCGTTCGGGCGATTTAAACCTCGCGATAAACTGTAGATAATGATACGGCTCAATTGCCGGACCCGTGGGCGGCGAGACCGCCGGTGTCTGTTTTTGTTGCACGCTCACCGACTGAGGTTGAGGTGGTGGCGAAGACCAGTAATTACTCGGCACGGATGGTTTTGGAGACGGTGGTGGGGAACCGTGTGTGGCTGGAGACCACGATGGCGCCGAAGTTGACTGTTCGGTCGGTTGTACGGTGGCGCGGCAGCGTTTTTTCACAACCCCGCGGGGTTTGTTGTTTTCCTTGTGCTGTCGCTTGTGGTCTTTCAACTCGGCGGCAGTTTCGAAGAACGCGACGCAGTACTCGCACGGGTAGGTCGTCTCGCCGGTGTGGGTCTTGAGATGTCTTCGTAAGTTGGCCACCTGCACGAAAAACCTATTGCAGTGCGGACACCAAAACGGCTTTTCGCCGGTGTGCAGTCTGACGTGGGTCTTGAGATGATGGTCGCGGGTGAAACACTTGTTACACACCGAGCACACGAATGGTTTTTCGCCGGTGTGTGTGCGCTCGTGGTTCTGCAGAACGTGTTTGTAGCCGAACTCTTTGCCGCAAACCGTGCACTTGAATGGCCGTGTTTGGCGCGGGCGCGACGAGGACGGCGGGTTGGAAGACGACGCGGATGACGCCACGGACGACGTCTCGTCGTCGGCGGCGGGCGGCGCTTGCACCGGCGGTTGATTGTTGTTGCGCTGATCTAGCCAGTCGGGGTGTATGTCGAACACTTGATGCATGATCTGCATGAGCACCGCGTCCGTGGAAGACGGGTCCTTCTGCTTCTGCTGGCTGATGGCGTACTGTAAACGGTGGTACGAGCCTACCAACAGCTCGCGTAATTCTTGTTCGTCTCTGGGCACTTGGTTGATGTTGTATCGTTCAACGATTGCGTTCAGAGCGAAATGTACCCAATAGTCATTTATATTAACTGTAAAACAAAAACAAAACAAAATTATTAACACTGATAATGTATTTGCCTACGTAATTAATAGGCACAACATCCTTTCTTCCGATATTTTTATCGACTATTTAGGTAAACGTACTAAAAATTAAGAAAATAAAAATACACCCGAACAAAAGCTAAGACTCTTAAAGCCGTTGATTGAACATAACAAAAGAAATGGTAAAAGAAAAAGTAAAAGCTGTAAAATATGATATTGTAATATTACAATAGGTAACGGACATAATAGAATTAATTAAGTAATTAATATTCCAGTCCATAGTATTTTGTATTGCTTAAAATAATCAGAAACGAAATTCAAAGTTATATAAATGATAACTATAAAATAATATTTTCGATTTAAATAATAGTACCCAGGTAATTAATTAATATTAACTTTAGTAGATATAGAATAACAATATTGTTATATCTTGCAAAAAAATAATAGGGAGAAGAGTAATTATTAGTTATTTAGGTAATAACATTTTTTTAAAGTTAATTACTCAACTCTTGAAAAATAATTATTTTTTCAATAACAGTGTGTTTAAACTGATTATATTATAATTTTAAAAGGCTTGATAATTTAAAAATCAATTTTTATTTTGATATTATTCTGATATATTCATATTACGTAAATTAATTATTGGTATAATTATTAATTAGTACATATTTCATAGCAATATAAATGATAAATGTAAAATAATATCAACCAGTATTCTGGTATATTCTTAGTACAATATTCTATGGAGTTTTCTAACCAATTATTTAATTAATTTAAATCAGTTTTTCAATAATTAATTTAATAACTATTTACCAATATCAATTTATGTTTTAAATACATAATCAAGGATTAATGAATAATAATTTTAAAATATCTACCATGTTATAAATACTATTTCAAAATTCGATAATCCTGGTATATTTTATCAATCATATTTACATACCTAGGTCAATACAGATTTTATTGAGAAAAGTTATACATATAATATTTAATATAGGTACCATAGGTAGTTGTAGGCGTAGGTTATTAGTTATTACTTAATAGTTATTAGTTAGTAGTAACCTATTAATTATTATTACAACACGAGGAATTTTTATTTTTTCTAACCTCGAGTCTAACATTGATACTTATTTAATATTGTATAACTTGTGTATTTGTATAAATAACATAATTAACCATAACTACGTATAATATTATTTTCGTAGATAAAAACCAGTACCTACATTGATATGCAATAAATAAAACTAATTGTCTCTATAGTGTAATGACATAACTAGTCATTGTAACTAATTAAATATAAAAAACATTTAACTTTCTAATCCTTATAATACGTGTAATAATATGCTCTACATTATATTCATCGATATTCATCATGTAAATACAATTCTTGAATTGAAATGTATAATAAACATTTGTCGCATTTCAAATTTAAATGGTGTTGTTGTAAAATAAATAACCATCAAAAGATGAGGGTTGATTAATTAATAGTGTGCCAAAGTTTAAGCGTTATTAGTTATTATATGAGACATAACGGACTGGCGAGTATTATTAATTATTATTGTACCTATCTATGGATATCGAGAGCATTCGATAAATCCGATAAAATCCTTTTGGGTTTTTGGAAAATATTTTTAGTCTGTTGTCGGTAAAAATTAAGCAAACCCCTTCTGCGATAGAATTGTTTTCAGGTCGTCGAGCGCAGCACCTTATCAACAACGTAAACAATACAATATTTATATCACGTTAACCTTGTCACCGGACCTTGGACTACGAGAGACAATATTTCGTGACCTAGCGCACACATTTATAAGCAGATTATCGAGACGATTTAAATGTGCAAGTTGTAAGCACCGACTACCTGATTAGCGAATAATTCCGTTTGGTGGAAATTCAAACAACTACGATATCTTAATAATAACCATAATAATAATACAGTACAATAGAAAATTATGTAATAATAAATACCCTTCATCTCCATTTCTTCGACGTGCTCGGACTTGTAAGGCTCCGAAGAGTCGAGGTTGTTGGTCCCCAATACGTGCGCCATCGGACTTTCACACGACACCATGTAAATGTGCGTCGAGAATAGTCGTCGAAAAACGGCTCGTCGAAAACCCGACAGTGTATCGTATATTATTATTAGTAATACAAAACGTTATTATGCACAATATTATTACTACGATGAAAACAGTAATAATAACAATAATAATAATTATATCAACAATAACAACGATATAGTAATAATAATATACGATAAAATATCGCGCAATAAAAGTCGGCTATCAAATAACGCACGCCGTCGTGTGACCGGCGAGTCGCGGGACTGATCGCAGAACGAGAGACGGTGCGAGTGGAGTGCAAGTCGAAGTTCGGCCGGCGTGGCGCGGCGTGTGATCAATTTATTTACTCTCGAAGGCGGCGGCGGCGGCGGCGGCGGCGTTTAAGGTTTTTTTTTTTATTATTATTATTTCTCAAGTGTTCCGACGAGACGGTAGCGGAGACGAAAATATGTGCGCACGGCCAAAGCGTACGGATGACACTGCGATAATATTATTATTTTTGCCGGATTTTCGGAAACCGGCTCGGCGGCTCGCGGCCCGTCCAAACGGTGGGCGGGCGGGCGCGAGGGGTCCGGTGGCCCCGCCTAATTCGTTCCCACCACCGCCGGACTCCCGCAAATGGGGTGGAAGTACGGTACGGACGACCGCGGCAACGGCCGATCGCTGTTGATTGCCGCCGCCGCTGTCGTCGCGTCGGAGTATATTTTAGTATTTTCACAATAATAATATCAAGTGCCTAATATAATATTAATTATTATAGTATTCCGGCGGCGTTTCAATGGGTCAATTTGATAATATAATATCATTGTTTTACGTCACCAGTCATACCCGGTTTATATCATATTTTGAAATTCGCATAACTATAGTCTATAGAAATCGCTCGTATTCGTGAATCATAATAATGATATTATTACTTTATTTATTATACATATCCTTCGTGGAATTCAGAATTATTTTCATTTGTTGTTTACATTTCTTTGCAGCAGCCCGCAGGTGTGTATTACATCGATGACGACCATGTACAACATCATGAGTACGAGGATCGGAAAATACACTAATAGGGTAGATATTAGTAGTTAGGTACTTATAGCCACTTAGGTGTGACTGTGACAACTGACAACGGTAATTTTACGCAGCAAATTGGCACCTATGTAAAATATTATTTGTAATCTATCCAATGATAAAAATGCACTTTAGAAAATAACATTAATTATCGTCAATCGCATAGAGCTCGCCGCTCCGAGCGATTAATGTTGTCTACCAGTCTACATAATACATCGAAAAGTAATACACTTACGGACATATTTTATAAAATGTTTGTTTATCATTGGGTTGACGTAAAATAACAAATCAATTACATTTTTAATTCTTAAAAAATCGTAGCTCTATATTTAATAGTTAACATCAAAGATGTTTCCAAGTCTATAAACGTTTTGGCCTGTATCACTATCGCCTTTTAGCCATACTTGTTATACAGTACCCATATACATTATAATATTACAGACCTTAATGAAATTAAATTTTTGTATTCCCGAAATATTATAGTGACGATTTATCTTCAGTATCGATGGTCGATAGTTCTCGCTTGCTCGATACTTAATCCCTACCGAGTTAGGTATATTGTAATCGAGAAATATAGAAATATAGAATAAGAAATTATTTTTAAAAAGTTCGTATAATTAATTATTTTATTAGGTATCTAATAACTATGTAATTCAGTAGTTGTATAATAGTGGTAAATTTCAATTGTAGTTATTTGACTTAACAGTCGTATAAATTAGAAATTGCATAGTTTTTCAAATAAAACATAATTGTTGTTTCGTAATTTGTACTTAAAAATGATTCTAACTATTTAATTATTTGAAGTAGGTATTAAAGATGAAACCTTATTTTTACCTATTTGTAAAATTAACAAAATTCCAATCTTATTGTAACAACAAATGGCTTATATTATATAGTAACTATAATATACTTCTATATTGTGTAGTTAATATAAACACTATATTACTTTACTGTGAATATTATAAGTTTTATACTACATAACAACAAATAAAAAGTATATTTGTACATTTGTATATGTATACTTAATAAATTAATAACACGATTAAAATAATTTTATACCCATCATCCATGTACCTATATATATTAGATTCTTGTTGAAATGAAAATTGCACGTAACGGCGTACTTATATTGGTTGCACACCGATTTTTTCCGTCTTTTCGTCTTATATGCAATAATCGAGATTTCAACAAAGAAGCAGACTCGGGTTGGTTTAGCCGGGATCAGACAGAAACAGAATAATTTGTTGGTAAAAATTGTTTATAATCGACTTTTATAATATTTTGCACCTATAGGCGAGAGAAGCAAGATGAGTGCTGATTACTAATTACTATTAGATACTTAGTCTCAGTAGTGTGTTCGGTTTTTTTAGTTTTTAGTTACTATCTATTCTAACGGAGGGAGATTTGCTTATTAGTTATTTTGTATAATGTGTATATATGTGTCGTACTTACAAGTGGTTACGATTCACGATGGAGATTGATTTTTCTATTAAAGTCGGATATATCTATCGTATAATATATGTAATAATAATGCATACATTTTTTTATATACATATAAGTATTTAAAAAACTGTTCACAATAATACCACAGTTTAAATTTCTATCCGTATTACTTTTAAATAAAAATATAAAACGCCATTCTCCTCGCTACAAAAATAACCTAAAAGAACTACAACTGTTGGACATCTATTTTATATAGTTAATTTATTGCTTTATAGCCCGGCCAATGAAATAACATAACAGAATTAAATTACTATAATATAGTACAGAAATATAGCGTGTTTTGGCGTGCCAGGCGAAACGCAAAGAAGAATTTTGAGAAAAAACTCCATTATTAAGTAGGAATAATAAGTGTCTCCAACAATAATTTATTTAGGTACCTTACTACATTTGGTTAACCTTATTAGAAAAATACAAATGTAAGCAAAAAAAAATCGAAAACCTCGTCTGACAAGTGTCGTCTGGAAACTGCCGGAAACGACCTATAATAGAGATTGAGTGTATTGTTTAATTCGGCAAAATACCTTTGACATCTGAATTTATTGATGTATAAACACTTTAACAAAATGATTCCTTTTTTATATGTACCACATACTATTTATATGTATAACTGTATAAGTATAATAAATACGCCTATGGAACTCGTTGACTAAACAGTACCTATGCCTAACATTGATGATACTGTACCGTACACCCAGCTACATGTATTATAATGGGGTGTATTGGCATATATTTGGGTTCCTTGAAATCCTTAAACCAGGACATGGTATTGAATGACTTATTTCTTATAATTTTTTTTTTTTAATTTTGATTATAAATATATTTTTCTTACGCCTTTATGAAAATATTTTAGTTACTTTAGTTATTTTACTTATTATGCTGATTATTATTTGCTTCACTTGAATGAATTTTTTTCAATAGAGTTGTATCCTCAATTGGTTCGTAAAATCTATGATTTAATGCAACATATATGCATAATACATTATTTCAGCCTATATTAGCCGGGACAAACTGAATGACCGGACACCGGGGGACAGGTCGTTCAAACCTAGACTGTCCCGGTCAAATTGGAACGAATTGGAACATATACCTAGTAGAATATGATAGGTAGTACACTTATACAGTTATACATGCATAGAATTATGTTCAAACTCAAACAGTTTTGTGGAAAGTTATTGACACGATCACATTGCTCTTCATAAAATCTACTTGGAACCTGGAGGATATCTTGAATCGATTTAAAAGATATCGTTTGTTTGCTGTACATTTATAACACGATAACATTGATAACTATATTATTTATTAGTTATTACAATTTACAATAATTATTTATGGGCTATATAACTGACGGACACTCAGCTTATTATGGTTAATCGTAATTTATAACCAAAATAACAATATTTGTAGGTAATTTATAATGTCTTAGATTATGTAATAGTGTACAGTTAACAACAACAAAAGATAAAATAGTATTGAGTTTGAAAATACAATTAAATATAATAAGTAAATACTTTTTTATAGTTTTTAAAAGTAAATTACTTCGGTGTAAGGAATAACATTTTTTAAGGTATTTATAGCTGTTGCTTGTAACTTACTTGTTAGTATTTTATAAATATTCTGTGCAGACGACTATTCTTTCGTGATATTTATTTGGTTTAGGTATACACATATTAATTTAACTATTTATCAATGTCCAAGTACTTTGATATGGGTTAAAAAAAACCAGTTCGCTATTATATTTTGTTACACAATTAAGTCAAAACGTTGAATTTTGCGAACAAAAGGGATATAACTGTAAATCGTAATGGTTATTCCTATTATTGGTTTTTATTTTTTTTGTGATACAACGTTTTGTACGAAATACCTCCCTACGGTTCATTACCTAAGCCATCTCCGCAGGAAGTAAGTGAAAACTCAAGGAAAGAAGTAGGTAAAAAAAAAAGGTTGTTGATGCCAATTTCATATGACCATGTTTACGAAAGAATATAAATCAAGACCACACAACGTCCGTCAGCCTGGCACCCCGAATTCAAAATTTTTAATTCAAACCTTTTTAGATAATTAGTACCTAATTTGTAACAATTTGTAACGCAAAAATCAGAATTTGTAACCCAAGTCTTACCCTCGAAAAAAGTGTTATTCTTTTCGGGGTGCTGGGCTGACGTCAGTCTGGCACCCCGAATTCAACATTTTTAACTCAAACCTTTTTAGATAATTAGTACCTAATTTGTAACAATTTGTAACACAAAAATTGGAATTTGTAACCCAACATTTACCCCCGAAATCGACGTTATAAAATTTTGGGGTGCTGGGGCTGACTCACGGATACTAAATGTAATTATAGCATTGTAAGTGTATTGATTTGTTAAAACTAAAATTAGTTATATTATAATATCTTTTATTCTTAAAGTCGTATATTCTTAGAAATATATCTATTCAAACTAGGAATTTTGAAATTTGTTTTTTAATAGATCATAAGTTATACTATACATAATTTATAAATTATAATAAAAAATCTATAATAAATAGAACATGCTATACCTAGTGAGCGCCCCGCGATTGCCAACATGTAGGATTATCTCCAATAAATAACTTAGGTGTATAGTAGATAGGTATCTGGTATACAATAGATATGTGCATTATTTTATTTTTAAATTTAAAATAGAAACATATTTTATCGATAAGCAAAATTAAAAATAAAATTGAAAATGTGAATCTTGATGCTATAATATAATATTATTTTTATAATAATTATTATATATAATATATATAAGTGTTTAGTTTTTTATCTATAATCTATATATACTTTTTGAACAGAAAAAGTATTTTTAGACCCCGTATAAATTATAAACGAATATGGTGGTTATCGACAACAAGAATTCAATTGATGTATATTTATTTTCGTACACAATTATGAATATTGTTTAA